TCACACTTTCCCACTCCAGGCCGCATACCCGTGTCACACACCTGGCACCTAGAATGGTCTCACCACCTGGGTAACTCCTCTTTCTCCTTAAGGTTTCATTCGAACACCACTTCCCCAGAAGTCTCCCTTTAGCACTCTGGAGAGGGAGGCCCTCTTCTTACTTGCTCCCCAAGCAGCCTCTAAGCTGCACTGGGGCGTCACAGTACTGCTGCGCTCATAACCTTTTGAAGAACTACCTCTATTTATTGGTTTAATGACTGCATTCCATGACTGGAAGCTCAATAGGCAAGCATTATGTTTGTCTGATTCACCCCTATATCCCAGCACTCATCATGCTGACGGCTAACGACGTGGCTGACTCGATAAAAATCTACATCTACTGGATGTGAAAGCCTTCACTGTAAACAAAAATCAAGTTTTTAGCTTAATGATTTGAACTTGTGTATTTGCACTGAACTATGCCTTTCCTTGTTTTAGTTAGTTACAGTTATACTGTTACTTTCAATAATTCCCCTAACAGTTAATGAAGAAGACCGTATTTAAATTTTTGTTAAAAGCAGTGTGCTTTGGCAACTTATGTTCAATCCCTTCTGTTTATAGTATGTTCACACTAACCAAAATAATCCTTAGAAGTAAAAGAAAAAAATGACTTTACTGATACTATGAATTTCCAATGGTTAAAAACTGATTCTTCCTCCCTTTGTTCAAGTCAGTGTGACTTTTTGGTAGAAATATTTTCTGATTTCTGCAGAAATAGCAAAGAATTGTGATACTTGGCATTTAGTTCCAGAAATAAAACCAGCAGAGGGAGCAAAGGAACATAAAACTAGTTTCCTAGGTCCCCATGGATTAGTAAATGCTATGTTGGCCTGTGGTATTAGGCCAATTCCATCTCTAACCCACATTTTTATACGACCTTCTGTACTATAACAGAGCGATGGGTGAATGGTTAGGACTCTGTCTACATACCAGACTGTCTGCTTCTGAGTGTGGATCTGGACTAATAAGACCCCCAATAACATTCTTGAATGGATCTGGGGTCATCTTAAGGTCTTTGTTTTGGGGTTAGGGAATAAGGAGATTAATCCTTACAGAACCCCTTTTCCCAGAGTTTGGGACCTCTCAGGGCCCAGGATGGGCCAACTGTAGAGGAAGAGCTCCACAATATGTTTGCATCATCAAGGAATCTCTTAGACATCCCTGCTCTGGCTACAAATGAATGAGTTGTGCTGTAGCCAGACTGGCGATGGGTAAATACTACTGTCTACAGATAATAACAGTAAGTTGATTATGTGACCTGTTACATTTGCCTTCATGTTAGCTAGTGACTTTCCTGGGCCATATCTGGTCTTCCTCAAAGATATTTCATGATAAAGTCATAGAAGAATGCTTTAAACTCTGAGAAAGATAAAGCATAATGCCAAGATGACATTTTATATTAGAACTGATCCAGAAGACAAGAAACCCTTGGGCCACATCTGGCTCACCACCAGCAGTAAGCAGCAGCTACTCACCCCTTTTCTGGCCTTGAGGCAGCAACAGAGAACTCAAGAGAACAACTCTCAGCCGTACAGTGAACGGCTGACTACTAAGGAGCCAGGCTGAAAGCCACCTCTGCCTAAACCAAGTCTGGGAACTACCCAGTCTGGTCACCAGGCCTGCCGAACGCAGCACGTGAATTTCACCTTGGGCCCATACACTCCTGGCTTTGCCATGTACTCCTGCCACATTTTGAGGAGCAGTTCCTCCTAGCTTTCCAATTATACTCTCTATTCTGCTGCCAGAGCAATCTTTTAAATTCTGACCAGGTTAACATCTTTGCTTAAAACTCTTTTACGGTTTCTCATTGACGTCAGGCTCATGCCTCAGTGATCCAAACGGACTCTCACTTCCTTTCTGGCTGCCCGCCACCTCAGACTCAGTGTGCCAGCCAAAAGGAGTTACTAGAGTTCCCAGGAGAGCACACTCTTGCAAATCTCCATGACTTGGACAATGCTGGTTTTCTCTGCCTGGAGTGTTCGCCTCACTTCTTTTTCATGAACTCAACACTCACTCCTTCCCAAATACCTTAGGTCAACAACGCCTCTGCTGGGAAGGCCTTCCTGACGGACCCCCACTCCTGTTCGAGCTAAGTGCCTATTCTGTGTTCCTGGAAGTGCCCCATGCCGGCTTCCCCTGCCCCTGCCGCCATGTCACTCTTTCACTCCTGTCTCTCTCCCTGGGCGGTGAAGAGTTTGAGGAAATAACTGAACCTTTTATTTCCACGACAGGGAGTAGTGGCTGAGATCAACTAGGGAGAGCAATGAGTGTAAAGAGACCAAGGTCCAGGGCAGAACTCACAAAAAAGATCACTAAGGAGACGAGAAAGAGCAGTCAGAGAAGCAGAAGAAAACTGGGAGAGAATGTGTCACAGAAGCCAAAGGGAGGGCTGTTACAAGCATGAAGGAAGGGCCACGTTGTAAAATGCTGCCAAAATGTTAAGTATGACATGGTTTAAAACACGTCCACTGGATTTAGCAACCAGCAGGTCACTGGCCACCTTGGGGACAGCAGTGTCAGACAAGCGAGAGACAAGCCAAACTGCAGGTGGGTGGAAGGCATGTGAGACATGAAGAATTTGAAGAAGCCGGAAAATTATATTCTCTCAAGAAGTCTTGCCGTTTGCTACAACATGAAGACATTATGCCAAGTGAAAGAAGCCAGTCACAAAACAACGCATCCCATAGGAGTCTACTCTGTGAGGTACCGAGAACAGGCAAATTCGTAGAGACAGAAGGTAGAATGGTGGTTGCCAGGGATCAGGGGAAGGGGTATGGGAGCTGTGTTTAATGGGGTCAGAGTTGCAGTTTTATAAGACAGAAAATGCTGTGTGGATGGATGGGTGGTGATGAGTGTCCTTAATGCCACTGAGCTGCATGCTTAAAAATGATTAAAATGGTGAATTTTCGATTATGTACATTTTACCATAATTTAAAAAAAGAAAAAAAGCAGCACTGCTGTTAAAAGAATAAGACAAAAACTGCTACAACAGGATACAGGATTGAGAGAGTTTTGTTCGTTGAACAGAAAGCCAAGACATTTAAGCATGTTAATACACTGAGAAGAGTGAGTTCGTCAAAAGGAAGACAAAAGGGGATAGTTTTTGATGTGGAGACCCCCGGAGACTCAGCCGTGGGCCAGAGGACTTGGTGAGGCAGGAGGGCGAGAGATGAGGAAGGGGTAGAGGAAGTGTGTTTGTTGGGGAGCAATATAGGGCGGGCAAGAAAAAAAATTTTTTTAAGGTTTATTTATTTATCTGAGAGAGAGAAAAAGAGCGCGCAAACATATGTGCATGGGGGGAGGAGGGGCAGAAGGAGAGGGAAAGAGAGAATCTCAAGCAGACTTCTCACTGAGCGAGGAGCTGGGGCTCAATCCCACATTATGACCTGAGCCAAAACAGAGTCGGATGCTTAACCAACTGAGCCACCCAGGTGCCTCAAGAAAAACATTTTTGAAGCGTCTATCTGATCACCTCTATTTTTCCTTGAAGGAGGAGTCCAGGGGGGGAGCAGGGGCTCAGGGAGAATGGTGAAGCTCTGGAGAAGTCCCAGGGAGTACTGAGGACGTGTGGGACTGAGGCGACAGTGGCAGGTGAACTGGAATGCTGAATCTGCAGTGGTAATGGTGGCCTGGGGCTCAGGTGCGACTCGTGGCAGGCTGGCGACACTGTGAATGGCGCACACGTTCTTCCAGGAACACCAGGGCACCTGAACTGAGAGTGCTGGGCGGCTCGTGGCTGAAGTGACAGCCTTCTGGAAAGCAAGAGAGGATGGGGCACAGACACGGGGCACAGAGGGACTAAGGACGGACTGGCCAACAAGGGCAAGAGCAAATAGAGCTGGAGGCAAGGTTTAGAAAAGCAGAATATTAGGAGACTGAAGTCAGCAGTGAAACACAGAAGTTTAAGGTTCCTGACATGGGAGAGTTCCGGGTCCCCACCTGGCGAGGCTCAGCCAGGGTGTAGGTGGCTAAAAAGAGAAATCCAATTAGGAAGGACCTGGGTCCTTTCCACAGGGGATGCTTCTATGTGTTGTTCTTCCCAGAAAACACAGATAATTAAGATTATTTTTTATGACTCTTTTCCTCTGGATTCAACTTCCTCTTTACTGCATTCCTTTTTTCCCCTTGAGGAAATCCCTCATGATCTAGGTACTATCCCATTTTACATCCTTATTCACCTACTTGTGTTCTTATATGCCATCTAAACTCAGTATGAACCTTGTTCTGTACTAAATCACAGGTTGGTAATCTGTGGGTGACATAAAAAGCCCATTAAGAACCATGAAAATAGGCAGTGACTCATTTCCCAGGGTCAACATCACATATTCAAAATACTAGTAAAAACGAATCACTATCATCTATTCAAGTGTTTCAAAGGCTAAGCATGGATTATTTTATATTACCTTGCTTACATGATCCTGAGCAGATCCTGATTCCCTCCCCAACAAACAACTCCTAAATAATAAAAGAACCCAGGAGGAAGTTAAAAAGGAACCTGTACCTTTTTATGTAGCCCAGCTACCCACAACATATTTATTTCACTTGTGTTAGAAGTGGGGGGAGTCTGTCTTGCACACCATCTTCTCGCTCCAAGGATGGAAAGGACAGACTAAGGCAGCTGTATTTTCGGCCTCTCGAGGTCTGTGCAGTTGCCACATGGTCTCAAACAATGTCTCATCAACACACGCCAACACTAGCTTTCTCCAGTGCGACATGACATAGAACCAAATTACCAACATCTTCGAAACAAGACTGCCTCCTTTTTTGTGTTCGCTGAAAACCGTAGAAAATTTTTGGCATTATATCTTACTGAACCATTCTGAAATCAGCTAAATGTATCACGTGTATCCGAGCACACTGGACTCTGTCACTTTCACAACATGGCATCCAAACGCCAGAACATGTGGCCAGTGATATGTCACTGTGAGAGCGGCACACGGAGATTCTGCTTGCAGTCCCACCTGTATGTCCTCTGAATGTTGTGACCAGGGTGCAGCTGTCTTGCTCCAGTTTGAGGATGGTTACTTGGCCTGACTGGTCACCAATAAACACATGCCGGGTTTCAACATCAAATCTATCATGTAAACATTAAGGATGTTTCTCAAAATTGAGTAGAGGGATTTACATACATAAATCAAGCAATAAATAAATAAATAAATAAAACCAAGAAACGTGCAAATCCCATATGAAGAAAGCTTGGACATAACGCTAAAAGATACAAAAGGAGACACAACAAAATAAAAGATGCAATATTATGGGACAATAAGACTTCACATGATAATGATGTCATTCTTTATAACATGAATTTACAAAGTTAATATAATCCTTATAAAAATATCAACATATGTTTTTTCCCAGAGCTGGGGAAGTTTAAGTTCATATAAAAAATAAATAAACAAGAAGAGCCAGGAATATTCTGAAAAAAGAGCAATGTGGTATGTGATAGGGGAGGTTAGCCCTACCAGATATTAGAACACGTTACAAAATCTCTGTAATTAGAAGTGCGGTATTGGTGCATAAACAGACAAACAGACCCATGGAACAAAATGGCAAGTCTAGAAGCAGACCCCAAAGCATACAGAAATGTAGTATGTGTCTGATGAGGGTGGCTCTTCAAATGAGAAAGGAAGAGATGGGTTTAAAAAAAAAAAAAAAGATGTTGGCATAAACTGCATAGTCATTTGGGAAAACAAAACAGGACCTGTATTTCACATTCTATCTCAGGATAAATTGCAAATGGCTTGAGGATCTAAATGTAAAAAATTACAAATGTAAGTTCTAGATGGGAGAGTTCCTTTATAATCTTGGAGTGGGAAAGGCTACTACTCAAAAACATAAACAACAACAAATACCATCAGCAAAGCCAAAAGATAAAATGGAAAAAATATTTGTAACTTATGTAACAAAAGGCCCAAATCCCTAACATAAAAAGAACAATCAAGAAGAAAGCAACCACAAACCTAATAGAAACATGGGCAAAATATATGAAGACATAGTTCAAGAAGAAATGAAGATGAAAATGAAAATGGTGTGTGAAAATGAAAATGTGTGAAATGGGCCTCAATGCTAGCTTTCAAAAGGCTGCTTACAAGGCTGGCCTGGTGTCTCGTACCTTGTATTTCCGGAGGGTCCCACCTTTAGCAGGCAAGAGTGGCCTTAACTGTACACAGAATATGGTTTATGCCAAATACCTGCTTTCCTACTTAGTCTGGAATTTCGATACATGTCAGAGACAGGCTGCCTACGTGACCAGTGTCCAGTACAAACCTAAGACACTGAGTCTTTAGTGAGCTTCCCAGGTTGATAATACTTAGCAACCCTACTTCTAGAGATCTATCCCAGAGATACACTGGCCAAAGTACAAAATGCATGCCTGAGGCTATTTGCTCCATGCTATTTTAAATAGCTAAAGTGTGAAGACAACAAAAAAATTCCATCAAAAGGGCACCTACTGAATTAACTATGATATACCTATGCAATATTAGGGGAAAAAAGAGCTCCATATCATAAGCAAACTGACATGGAGGAATTTCCAGGGTACATTATAAAGTGGGGAAACCAAGCCAAGGTATATAAGCTACACTATCTTTGCATAAGAAAGAGAGGGCAACAGAAGTGTGTGTGTGTGTGTGTGTGTGTGTGTACCCCTGTGGGCGCTTATTTTACAAAAGGAAGCTCTGGAAGGATAAGTTAAGATCTCACACAGGTGGATGCCTACGGAGGAGGGAGAAACAAGCTGAAGGGGCAGGGCTGATGGTGAGACTTCTCTTGTCATGGTTTCCATTCTGGAGTCATGTCATTATTTTACATATTAAAAATATGTATAAAAATAAAAGAAAAAATCCCCCAAATTGACAACAAAGTACAATCGGTGAACCATAACTATGGTGATCACCATAGTTATAAGCATAGTTAACCATATAACCATAGTTAACAGAATTATTCAAGTGCCTCTAACACAGAGCGTTTCAACTGTACATCCTTGGGAGAATATATTCTAAGGACAAAGAGAACTGCAAGGAAAGCTAAAATCTCATTCCATAGTCTTGGTGCTATAATACTGCTATTATTATTTTGAAACACCTTAAATGTACCATAGGATAAAGCAAATATGTTAATGTTTTAGGGAAGCCATAATTTTCAGCCCAAGGTGAAAGAATCAAGTACAAAAATGAAGTAAAAACCCTAAAATGTTAAATGTGAATTTATTATATGAATTGATGATATATTTTCTTTTCAGAAATATACACACACATATTTCCTAGCTATCTCTGAATACTACTCCTCACTAAAAGAAACGGCTAATTCAGGACTGGTACAGGAAGGTACAAGATGAGGTTAAGATGTGTTGTGCCAAAAAGCAGGGAAGCGCCCTTCAAAGGCAAGTGGGGTTGTATCAAAAGACACCGGAGCCAATATGATGGGGCTCTTATTGGCCAACGACGGGACAATACTTGCATCCAAAAAAGGCGAATTATTGAAATCTACCAGATATATTATTTTTAAAAAACCTTAAGAGTTTATAATAATGCTCAAGAAGAAAAAAAAAGATGCCTATTGGAGGTAACCAGGGCACTGAATCTCTACTCTGAAAATGAGCAATTAAAGAGAAATAACTAAGAACTTATGTTGCTTTTCCCATACTAATTGAATCTCAAGGTAACCAAATAGCCCTAGTTAATGAGGGTAAATTCTACTCTATAGAAGAATTCCAACTAACACATGTGGAAAAAATGCTACGATTACAAAATCGCCATTTTGCGACCCTAACAAAATAACTGGTTCAGGCTAGACCACCAAAGGCAGGCTGATGTTATAAATTTTTAGGAGTAATAATAGCATTGTGGTTACTGAAAAATTCTGTATTTTTTAGTGATGCACAATTAAGTATGTAAGGATGAGATGACATAAGGTCTAAAATTAGTTTCTGAATACTGCAGCAAGGAGAGAGAGAAAGCAAAAAAGATCAAAGAATCAACGCTGGATCTGATGAGTATGTGAGTGTCCATTATAATCTCTTCTCCCAGTTGGGGCATGTTTTGAAAATTTTCATAATAAAACATTTTTTTTAAAAGTGAAGGAGAACAAGGCACCACAAATTCTTCCAGTCTCAAGAACAAGGGAGATATATGTAAAACAATATTAAGATTGATATGGAATAAGATCACCTTACATTTACCTAGATTAATTTTAAGGACACTGATGAAAAAACAAATGCACTCTGACACCCAAGAGTCTTTATGATGGCAAGTAAATAGTAGTATTCTCTTAAAAAAACATAAATGCAACAAAAGCGATTTGAAAGAGAGCTGAAATAAAATTATAGTACAACCTCAAAGCCAGAGTGATTGGCATTAAGCATGATACGAGGAAATATAAAAATCAAGATAATCTTACAGCTTTCCAGTACCCTTGCCCTGAATATGAACAGATCTGAGAGACTTCTTGGTGAAAAGACCTTGTACTATATAGGGTGACATCTTGGAACTATCTCCAGCATGAATAAAATCTTAAAATGAAGAGTATCTAAATTATTTCTATGGAAGCATGAAAAAGGTGATCGAAACATGGTCAAATGACAAGACTGAAAGGTGAAGCTAAATTATTCACAAATTTAAATACTAGTAAGTGAAGTGGGGAAGGAAAACAGTTCTATTTCCTAACATCAACCTGCCATGTGACCTTTGGGAAATACCTCCACTCTACTGTATTTAGTTGCTCAAAGGGCTAGCCAAAAGATTGTAATACCCACATTCTAATCCTGGTTCTGCCAGGCATTAGTCATGTGATCTTGAGAAAGTCCCTTAACCTTTCTAAGCCTTGGTTTCTACACTGTGAAAATTGAGGATTTGGTCTTTGGTTTTTATTCTAATTATTGTTAAATTGCTTATTGTCGTTAGTGTTACAGCTCTTAATACTTCAAGCTTCAGATCTTTAGCCAAAGCAACCAAAGATTTTGAGGTTATTTAGAAATTGGTAATTCAATTTTTGAAAGGTCAGTGTCTTTGTCTTCATTTCTCTACTTGAATTTTTGTTATTTTCACTGCACGTGTACTTCTCCCCTATGAGGTCAGAAGGAAGAGAAAAAAGGCTGAATTCAACCTGACTTCTATCACTTGCTGACGTGGATGAATGAGTGTGAGGTGGAGATGGGAAAAGGTGGTTCATCTGTGGAAGTTTCTTATGTACGCCACCACTATCCACTAGGAAGAGAAATTGGGGGTACTGATATTCTAAACATTTTATATATATGGTTTCAGCAGATCTTCTTCCTTAAGAAAAGAAACCTGTAAGTATGGTAGGTGGCAGAAAGAAGAGGAAAGAAGTGGGGTGGAGGGTTCCCATGAAGAAATGTGTTTAAAAATTGGATTTTAAGGTGAGTCCCAACATTGTATGGGTATGTTAACACTGTTAACAATCTGTGCACCAGGCAGCTCCCAGAAAAAACCCTCCAGCCTTGGGAAAGTTGCATGTTTCCTGCATGTTTCCCTCTGGCAAAAGCAATCCAGTTATTCCATCAGTGTGGAGCACTGGAAAAATATCAGAGATAGAAGGATATAAGGCCATTCTTAAATCAGGAGCCAAGGGCAGGCACTGTGAGAGGCAGAGCTGTAGAGGTGAGGGAATCTTCTGGAAGAGCCTTCCTGTAGTACTGCAGTTCCCCTCCCCCTTAACAGCAAGGTTGGACTAGATGGTCATTTACACTGGGAAATGAACCCAGAGGCTTTCACACACACACACACACACACACACACACACAGACTTCTGATATCTGATCACATGATTTTTTTCTGCTTGGTAAACCACATGGTGTGTGGCCAAAGGAAATGGTTGAAAAATGAAGGTGACTTTAGGAGATGCCTGAAGAGAAGGGTCAGAGACCACCACAGTCAGGAGACTTTCGGTTCTGGGCATTTTGTTCTGTTTCTCATTTTCAGAGAGTTTAAAAAGTAAACTTCTTAAAGGCAAGATCTGCCTTTTTTCTATAGTCCTTGGCTTGGCTGAAGTCCTACAGAAGCCAGCATATTACAAACAAATTCTATTGATGCCATTAGTTCTGGTCTCAAAAGGGTAACAACACAGTATGATGGGAGAAAACAGCAGTCCAAGGCAGAAGACCCAGGTTCTGGTGCTCTTCTGACATACCAGCTGGGTGGCTACAGGTAAGACATGCGACCCTTTCTGGGCTTCAGCTGGCTCATCTGTAAAACGAAGAGTTGACCCGGATGATGGCTAAGGGTCTTTCCAATTCTAATACTATAAGAAATCAGTCATCTATTGACAAGAGAGTTCATGTATTTCAGGCATTAGGCTTGTCTCAACTGGCTTTTAGAAAGTAAACTTTGGAATTTCTTTTCTTAACAGGTGGTACCACGTTCTCAAAGATAAGTTGATCCTGCTTGCCATTCCTTATCACCCTTGTTTCTGGCCTGCTTGGTAACTTGCCATTTTTACAACCTTCCATGATGGCCATTCTTAGTTTCTTCATCTTGCTCTTCGAAGTGAGGAAAACAAGACAGGAGCAACATTAGCTAACAAACACACACACACATAAAGCTACTGCTGCACGTCTGCAAGGAGACAGCAAAGTACTTTGTCAGATTGTTGAGAATCACTGAATAGGCATTTTATAAATATAAGATGAACATCTGAAAGCAAGCCTTACTATTTCTTCCCACTTCTGCTGACAAGTGATCTGTTCCCATGTAGTCCCTCATTTGGTGGAAGGTGGAGAGTGATTCTCTGCTTTTTAAACCGAGAAGCTCAGGGCCCGTTATTCCTTACATGGTGGCATCACCCACACAGGCTTCACATCTGTCAAGCCTGTGCTTGCTACAGCCCAGTGGGCCGGACAGGAGGACTACCCAGCATTCAGGGGTATTCACACTGGCCATATGGGTCCTGGAGACTTGAAAGATGAGAATTAGTATCACTCTACATATCCTGGAAGGGTCTTGCACCTGGAACAAAGTTTGTACCACTACCGTGTAGATACCAGCTAACCTACTAGTGGTCCTGGCACAGTAGCTTCTCCATAAATATTTAAAAAATAAATAGGAATCTGGTGGTTCTTCACAACCTCAATATCTGTGTGTAAATTACTTCCGCAGGTACAAAAATAAAAAGCTGTCTTTCATTGATGGTTTTATTATCTCCATGTTCCCAAGTTCTTTCTGACCACTGAGGCTCATAAATCTGGGCTGTGTCCTGTCTGGATGTCAGACTTGTGTCAGAGTCACCCCACAACCTGCTCAGCAGGATCTGTTATTTGGGGGGAAATCACCTCACTTTAATCCACCTCCGTGAGGACCCTCCATCATTTGTGTATCGGTCAAGTCAATGAGAATCTTAATCAGCAGGGCAACTCAGCAAATAAAACAAAAAACTTTCAAGTTGCACATACCCAAACTTTTCATGAAAGAAAGGAGTCAACAGCTAAGTTCCCACCAAGGGATTTTTGTCCAGCAAAGGATACTGCAGGCCCGAGGCCACGGCACTGGTACGGTAACCTCCCAGGCGTTGCCCACTCTCCGAGCAGTGCCAGGCAAACTGCTTGTCCTGCCCCGTGCTCAGCACCCACTCCAGCTCCAGGACAAACAGGATCATCGTCACTCTGCTCTGATGTGCTAAAAGCCAAGAGACAAGAAAATAACCCATAAAGCATCATAAAGGAGATTGATAAAGCATGGTCCACAGAGATGCATCATTCTCTTCTCCCCACCCCAGAGGAAGCTGCATAGTATGGACAGCCATTACACACACAGTCTAGAACAGTGGTTCTCACCAGGGGAAGAGGGGCGTGCCTGAGCTGTTTTTTAGAAAAATGAGACAATTTTTTAAAAACTATCCATTTCCTCCCACCTGTCCACTATTTCCTCCTACCTCCCACTATCCATTTCTTTCCCGCCTGTACCAAATCCAAGTTTACCACCACCCAGAGTCCTCATTACCAAAGGGCCTGGGCCACCTCTCTCAGACATGACAGAGCTGCTGGACTGGAGAATGTCAGACCCAATGTGACCATAGAACAATAGAACGCATGATGATCTTATAATAAGTTTATGCAAGCTTAAAAGAAGTAAAGAGCATAATTGTTCTCCTTTTGGTGAAGTATGGCTTATTAAACCCACAACAAAGTTCTAGATGAATTTTTTCTAAGAAATCAAATGCTAGAAAGGAGGGCAGAATTATTCCCAAGTGCCATGTAAAGAAGAATGAAATAACCCTTATATGTCAAAGTATACATACACGTGATAAGGAGGGCAAATCTCCCAGGGTTGCTCATACACAGAGGCAACACCATCCACAGAATTACCGCATCACACAATTTTATAGCTAGAAGAAATTGTTCATGTCATCTACTCCATCTCCCTATTTTACATGTGGGTAAATTCAGGCACAATGAAATCGAGTAGTTTGGCCAAGGTCTCATGGCTTCTCAATTACCGAATAAAATCCATAAAAATTTGCTTTCTTCTTACACGGTTCCAGAGGGTAAGGCAGAGGGGGTCCACGGCCACTGAACAGAGTTGACTGGAATAGACAAAGATCGATACCCTGGAACCCGGACCTCACTGGCCCTGTGCCCAGGAGCTGGCAGTTTGGTGGGCAAAAGCAGACTCGTCACGAGAGTGATGACGTGATAGAGAAAACATCAGTTTCCCATTTTGATCATGAAAATAAAGTTAGTATGGACTAGATGGATCAATGCAGCTCCACTGACAATAACAATATTGCCTGCCAATTTCTGAGTGTCTAACAAGTGCCAAGTACTTAAATACATTCTTTCAGTTAGTCATTGTAATGACCCTGCAAAAGTGGGTGGTTTCTTCATCTTACAGACACAACCTGGCCTTGGCAGGATGGCCCTTTTACATTGGCTACCAAACCAATGAGTACCACAGGACAGCCATCCCACCAAATGCCTGATATTTTAAAATCTGATATTTGAAGCATAGAGAATCTATAGGGACACAGAAGGGCTACAGAAGCAATAATACTATGACTTCTCTACAGTAAACACCTGCCTGTCAGAGTATCGGCCACCATTCAAGATCAAAATGTTGTCTTTAACTTAAAAGATATGACTTCTTGGGAGAAACTCCTGAGGATCTTGTCATCAAAATGTCCAATTCAAGCTCCACCAATGATGGAATAAAAATGAACTTCTCTAATGGCTCAAGTTTCTCAAATCTATTTCAGCAAGAAAGTAGCCCCCAGCACTTTGTCCCTTTCTCCCATCACTCTCTTAAGTCCAAGGGGATGACAGCAGTCCAGAAGACAAGGGGGGTTAAGCCCTCTGAGCTGCCATCATGTGAGGGGAGGAGACAGAGGCTCACAAAGGTTGAGTGACTTGCTCAAATCTGCACAATCAATGAGTGACGAAACGAGAACTAAGACCCTAGGCTCTCTGCCAAAGTCGATTCTCTTTCTGTGTCAGGGTGCCTAGGACTACTGAAAAAAACAAAGAAACAAGCCCCAAAACTCAGAGCACATACTCTTTTCTAATGTGACAGAATTCTTTCATTCAAAAAGAAACCCTTTAAAGGTATCACTAAGCTTCAGAAATGTGGGCTTGAAGTCTGGCTATACTTCTTGAATAGAAAGGCTGAGAGAAGACATCCTTGTCTTGTTCATGATCATAGAGGGAAAGCATCTCCTTTCTCACAATTAAGTACAATGTTAGCTGTAGGTTTTTGTAGATGTTTCTTTATGGAGTGAGGAAGTTCGCCTCTATTTGTAGTTGGCTAAGTGTTTTTATCACGAATGGGTGTCAGAGTTTATCATATGCTTTTTCTGCACTAATTGATATGATCATATCATTTTACTTCTTTAGCCTTTTGATGTGATGGATTACACTGATTTTCAAATGTTAAACCAGCTTTGCATATCTGGAATTTTGGAATCTGGAATAAATCTTCTTGGTCATGGGTGTATAACTCCTTCCATATATTGTTGGATTTGCTAGAATTTTTTTTTTTTTTTAAGGATTTTAACATCTAAGTTCATGAGAATTACTGGTCTGTAGTTTTCCTTTCTTATAGTGTCTTTGGTTTTGGTATCACTGATTGGTTTTTAAAAAAATGTTTATTGAGGTAAAAAATCACCATTTAAAACATTTTAGAGTGTATAATTCAGTGGTTTTTAGTATATTCACAATGTTGTACAATCATCATGGAAAAATGTACTATTTACAGAACATTTCCATCACCCCAAAACAAACCCACACCCCCAACTTCTCTTCCCTTATCCCTGGGCAACCACTAACTACTTTCTGTTTCAATGGATCCCCTTATTCTTTTTTTTTTTAAAGACTATTTATTTATTTATTTGAGAGAGAGACAGAGAGAGAGAGAGAGCATGTGCGAGCACAAGTGGAGGGAGGGGCAGAGGGAGAGGAACAAGCAGACTCCCCGCTGAGTGGGGAGCCCGACGTGGGGCCTGACCCCAGGACCCAGAGATCATGACCTGACTTAAAATCAGATGCTAAAACAACTGAGCCACTCAGGTGCCCCTCCTCCCCTATTGCTGACATTTCATATAAATGTATTCATATGGTCCTTTGAGTCTAGTTTCTTTCACTTAGCGTGTTTTCAAGGGTCATCCATGTTGTAGCATGTATCAAATATTTCATTCCTTTTTTGTGGCCAAAAAATAATTCATTTTTTTGTTACACCACGTTTTGTTTAACCATGCATCCATTCATGGACATTTAGGTTATTTCCACTTTTTGGCTATTGTGAATAATGTTGTTATGCACAATGGCATGCAAATATGTTTGAATCCCTCCTTCCATCTTTTTTGGGTATAAACCTGGAATAATCCTTGCTTGGTTGTGATGTACTATCCTTTGTATATGCTGCTGCATTTGATTTGCTAAAATTCTGTTTAGATTTTTTTGCATCTGTTTTCATGGGGAAGGCTGGCCTATATATTTCTTTTCTTGTACTGTCTTTGCCTAGTTTTAGTGTCAGGTAATGCTGACTTCAAAAATCAGTTGGAAAGTCTTCTTCTGAAAGAGTTTGTGCAGAGTTTGTATTGTTTCTTCCTTAAATATTTGATAAGATTCACCAGTAAAGCCATCTGGGCCTAGAGTTTTCTTTGTGGGAAGGTTTTAATTATAAAGTCAATTTCTTTAGTACATACAGGGTTATTAGGGTTATCTATTTCTTCTTGAGTGAACTTTTGCAATTTTTACCTTTCAAAGATTTGTTCATTTCATCGAGGTTGTCAAATTTTATTGGCATAAAGTTGTTCATCATACTCCTTATTATCCTTAAATATCTCTACAATCTCTAATACTATCACTTCCCTTATTCCTGATATTGGTAACTTGCATCTTCTCTCTTTTCTTTCTGGTAAGTCTGGCTAGAGGTTTATCGCTTTTATTCATCTTCTCAAATCAAACAAAAACAACAGTTTTTGGTGTCACTGATATTTATTTTTTGTTTTCTATTTCATGAACTTCTGCTATGATCTCTCTTCTCTTCTGCTTGGCTTTGTTTCCATTTGTTCCTCTTTTTTTTTAAGATTTTATTTATTTATTTGAAAGAGAGAGCATGAATGGGGGAGGGGCAGAGGGAGACACAGACTCCCCACTGGGTGGGGAGCCCGAGAGGGGGTTCGATCCCAGGACCCCAGGATCACAACCTGAGCCGAAGGCAGACCCAACAAACCAAGCCACCTGGGCGCCCCTCTTTCTGGTTTCTTGATGTAGAAACTAAGGTCACTGATTTGAGACCTTTCTTCTCTTCTAACATAGGTGTTTAGTTAAGTACTGCTTTAGCAGCATACCATAAATTTTGATACACTGTTTCCGTTTTGATTTCTTCTTTGACCCATGGATTACTTAGATGGCCCGTGGTTATTTAGCTTCCTAATATTTGGGGATTTTCCAGAGATATTTGTTACTGATTCCTGCTTCAATACCATTTTGATCAGAGAACACACCTTGCATGACTTGAATTTTTCCAAATTTACTGAGACTCGTTTTATGGCCCAGAATGTGATCCACCTTGATAAATGTTCTTTGTAAAGTTGAAAAGAATGTGTCTTCTGCTTTAGTTGGATGGAATGTTCTACAGATGTCAATTAGAGCAAGTTGGCTGTGTACTGGTCAGGCCTTTTATATCTTATTGATTTTCTGCCTACTTATTGTCAATTATTGATATATTCGATCAATTATTAAGAGAGGAATACTAAAATTTCTGACTAAAATTGAGGATGTGTCTATTTCTCTTCCTGAGGTTTCATCAGGTTTTGCTTCACATATTTCAAAGCTATGTTTATTAAGAGCATAAACATTTAGGATCGTTATGCCCTCCTGATGGACTGACCCCTTAATCATTACGAAATAATCTCTGGTAATACAATCCTTTATCCCTGGTAATATTCTTTTCTCTGAAGTCTACTTTGACTACTATTAACATAGCCACTCCAGCCTTCTTTTGACTACTGTTTGCCCAGTGTATCTTTTGCTATCCTTTTATTTGTAACTGCTTTATGTCTTTATATTTAAAGTACATTTCTTGTAGGTGGTTTACATTTGGGTCTCCTTTTTTTCATTCAATCTGATGGCCTCTGGCTTTTAATGAGCCTTAGGCCACATACATTTAATATGATTATTGATAACTGGTAGGTTTAAATCTATCACCTTGCTATTTGTTTTCTATTTTCCCATGTGTTCTTTTTCCTTTTCCTTCTTCTTCTTTTTTTTTTTTTTTTGGCGGGGGGAGAAGGGTTCATTGAGAATGATTTTAATGATTCCATTTTATCTCCTTGGTTGGCTTGTTTGTTGTAACTTTTTGATTTGTTATTTTATGGTTGCTTTAGGGCGAGAAGTATACATCTTTAACTTATCATTGTCTTCCTTCAAGTGATTCTGTTCCACTTCATGTGTAGCATAAGCATCTTATAATAGTATATTTCCATTTCTCCCCGGGTCTTGGCTTTTGTATTACTGATGCCAAACATTTTAATTTTACATGTTATGACCCTCGTGCTACTTTATTATTTTTAGTTAAATAGCAAATTGTCTTTTTATAAGATTTATATAATAAGAAAATATCTCATAGTAACCACGCCTGGTGCTCTTTATCCTTTTGCGTAGATCCCTCTTTTCCTTTGGCGTCATTTACTTCCTTCCTGAAGGACTTTCCTGAACATTTCCTTTAGTGCAGGTCTATGAATTCTCTCAGTTTTTTATGCCTGAAAAAATTTTTATTTCACCTCCATTTCTGATATCTATTACCATTTACTCATAGTGGATTGATTCCTTTTAACTTTTATAATTTTATTTTTATTATGAATTCATCTTAAGCAGGGCTTGTTTTTGCTGTGGGATATTTGTGTGACTTGTCTTGTTGAAGAGAGCTTTTGAATTTACTTCTAGCAGGAACCATGAGGCTACCACTGGCCCAGGACCGATTTTTTATGTTAAATTCTTAAGCTGGAGCTTGTAGCACTACATGAATGATTTAAATTTGTATTCCAAATCTAAAATTTTAGGTTGCAAGTTTCATTTATCTGGAAGATTCTTCCCTCTATCCAGATCTGAGATCAGGAATAAATTATGCTATGGTCTTCTGGGCCAATAAGTGGAGAGTTTTAGTCCTCTCCTTTTCATGGTGATATAGCCCTTTATGCATTTCATCTTTATATGTAAATATCAGTTGCAACTTCCCATCTCACTCAAGCCCTAGGTCTCATCTTCTGTCCCTAAGTCAATGTTCATACAAAAGCTTCTAGCTATTAGAAGTTCTATTTTTCTCCCCAAGATAGCTGCAATGTCAGGTAGTATGCGTATCACTTTGAGTTTTAGTTCTCTCCTTGCTTCTGGTACGTGGGACTCTCCCTCTTGTTTCTCTCATGGGCTTAGTAGCATTGCATTAAAAAAAAATTAATCACAACTGGGATTTCAAAATGTCTTGATAAGCTGAGATGATGAACCAAATAAAATGAGATGATGAATAACCTGTAGTCCAGCATTTAGGCTAAAAACAAAACAAAACACCCCCCACACCAAAAAAGGCAACAGCTTCAAAAGTACAGTACCCAATAAAAACTTAAGTGAGAACCACTAAGGGGTTTGAGTTGACTGCTCCACATGAGCCCACAGTGTAAAGTGGCTGTCAAAAGTTCACCCTTCATGGAACAGTGACCAGAAGAGGAAGGAAATACCATTTTGTAGTTATCACATTACATATGTATATTGGTTATCTACTGTATAACAAATTACACCAAAACTTAATGGCTTAACACAGTAAACATTTATTATCTCAGAGTTTCTGTGGATCAGAAATCTTGGTGCAGCTTAACTTGGTGCCTCTGCTGAAAGGTGTCTCACAGGATGAAACCGAGGTCATGTGCTGGGGCTATGGTCTCATCTGTAAGACTGACAGACGGAAGACCTGCAGAATTCCATGTCTCTCATGTTGACTAGATACAGTTCCTCATAGGCTACTGAGCTACCGGAGGGCTTCAGTTCCTTACCAGCTACTGATGTGGCCTCCCTCAATTCCTCATCACATAGGCATCTCCATAAAGTAGCTCATAAGATGGCAGCTGGCTTCCATGAGAACCAGCAAGAGCAGGAGAGGGCAAGCAAGAAGGACTAGTCTCTTTGTAACCTAATCTTAGAAGTGACATCCATCATTTGACATATTTTAGGTCCAGTCTACACTCAAGGGGAGCTGACACTCAAAGGCATGAATAACAGGAGACAAGGATCATCAGGAGCCATCTTAGTGGCTGCCTAGCACAATGTGTCACATTTTTAAAAGGCTCCAGAGGTAGAACATGATATCCCAAGATCTGTGACCAAGACAACTAAAAAAAATTTTTTTGAGAACAAAAATTCAGGTCATGTAAAATATTTAGGCTAGAAAATAGAAGTTATAGATAAAAGGGGCGAGGAAGAGACCAGGGTGGGAACTTTCCATGGCTGTTTTAAAATCACTGAAAAGCTGTCATCTGTAAGAGAGATTGTACTTAGTTTCTGTGGCTCCAACAGGCTGAACAAAAACCAAAAGGGGAACATTCTAGTATTTATAACATAACATTTTATTGACCTGGTTATCTGTTTGTAACTTCTACGTAATTATAAACTGCTTATAGGCAGGTACTATAATGTCTTGTTTACTATTATAATCCTCAGTTACTGGAACTCAGTAGGTACTCAATGAATACTTGGTTAAGTGTTATGTGAAAACAATTAAAGAACACATCCAGAGGGAAATGAATTTTGGCTCAAAATCTAGAAATAAAGAACTTAATACTTAGAATTTTACAAAAATCGGGATGGGTTGCTAAGTATGTCTCTGGAGGTATCAGGAGAGTCTGGATGATCACGCAGGATGGATGAAGTCAAGAAATGTGGATGAAATAACCTCTAAGTCTTAAAATATCCACCTCTAATGTTCTGATCCTATAACATCATTGGTCTAGATAAATAAATCATTACAGAAAATGGCTCCTGATCCATCTATGGTACACTGCCAATGTTGAAGACGCAAGAAAACCTTAATTCCTTTCCCTTAGACAACACGGACATTTTAGGCCTTTTAAGATATTTAACCAAAAATGAAATGAGCCCCATGTAAAGTAGCTCACTCCTAACACTGACCCCACTTCTCTGCATCTGCTGCACTGCTTTGAGGTTGTGTGGTATGGCAGAGAGACAAAGGACAAAGGTCAGAGGTTCTGGGGTCACAACGACCGAGTCTGGTTCTGCACTTTACAGGACCTCAGGCAAGTCACCCAACCTCATTAGGCCTGTTTCTTACTTCAGAGACTCGGATAATATTCACCTGAAAGGATTGCTCTGTTTTGCTCCCACTGACTACTGTAAAGTGAAACCTTCAAGAAACATCTCAAAATCTAGGTAAAAACACTGCTGTCTCACTCCTACCTTGATAGTTTTTCACAGGAGTCATCTTGTTATAATCTTCTGATAAAATAAACTCCTGCAAAAGAGAAGAAAAATATCAAGCAAAAAGAAAGTCTTTAAGTGAATAATTAGGTTTCGATAAAACCAGACTGCATAAAGAAACATCACGACAGAATTACATCCAACATTAGTATTTTGCCAATCAACTCAGCATTTTTGTACATCTTTAAAAGTAACAATCATAATTATGATCTAATGCAATTATAATTTTTATATTGTAACACTGAGTTTGGTTTTTTGTTTGTTTTTGAGTATGTGTGAGAAGAAAACTGGATCAAGTTCAGTGTCTTGACACTGTCTTGTCAATTTTGAAGATAACCCTCATTTAACTTGCTACAGCTAAAAATTTGGCCAGTGAGCAAACGGATGGCAATCCTCTATTAGAGAAGCAAATTAGGTATTTTAAAAGATTGTTTCTAATATCAGTAACTTATTTCTCCTTACAATAAGCTTCTCAAGGGTGCATCTTACTCATCCCTAAATCCCTATGGTACATGGCACAGTGTCTTGGATAGTAAGTAATTAGTAAGTATTGACCAAACAGAAATGTGAAGGGCATCTCCCAATCTCATGAGATTAATCTGAATGTCAAATTTACTCAAAAATAGTTTCTATATAATGCATTGTATATACTCTTTGTGAGGACACAGAAAACCTGAGTGGGTGAGTTTGTGTGTGAGTGTGTGTGCATTCTTCACCTAAGCATCTACATATACAATGACCTATATGTAGAAGCCAATCAAGTGTTTATAAGCCCCAGCCAGGTTTTGAGTCCTTTAGCTTCTTTCAAATGCAAAATATCCATATACTCTTAAATAGTAAGTTGTCAAACAAGGAAAGCTGCAAAGGATAACAAATTGATGCCTTCATCTGAGCTTAGAAACAGAACAATGAGTCTTTTCAAAACATTTGGAGGCTTCCAGAATTTTTCCTTGAGGACTTAAAGAAAGGTGTGTGGGAGGACAGATGAGTAAACTCCTTAATTGCTATCTGGGTATTTACTGAGCTGATACAGTGTAAATTTTAGAAGAAAATGCTTATTTTATTGTTTTTGTGATAGATACCACAAAGGTAAGTATGAGGTGATGTGACAGAATATAGGAGGTAACAAAGTTCCTCTGGGTGTTCACTTTCCTACCCTGTCCCTCCTTAAGAAGCTTATCTACAAAATGGATTTTCTTCCCCATGATTTTCTCAGTAAAAACATTACTCAACTTGTCACTTTTTAAATTCCTATCAGTATTCCTTCAAGAAGTAGCACTATGCTCACTTCTCATTTCTTTTTTAAAGATTTTATTTATTTATTTGACAGACAGAGACACAGCAAGAGAGGGAATACAAGCAGGGGGAGTGGGAGAGGGAGAAGCAGGCTCCCCACCAAGCAGGGAGCCCGATGCAGGGCTTGATCCCAGGACGCTGGGATCATGACCTGAGCCGAAGGCAGACACTTAACAACTGAGCCACCCAGGCGCCCCTCACTTCTCATTTCTGAAGAGTTAGACTTACAATGGAAGAGAGCAGACCAATTTTTAAAAGTAGTAAAGTCGTTCTCCCATGAGAAGCTGATGATGTGGTAAGGAAGCTATGCACGCATCTAGGCCTCGACTCACTACCACCCTCAATCCCAAGCAAGAGTAGCTTGATCCTGAGCCTCCCACTTCAGAGAGCCCCAAATTTCCTCACATACACAGTGAATAAATTTATTAAAGACCGTTATTATTTAGGCAAGTGTTTGCTGAGTTCATAGAATTCATATATTACTTTGATTATACTGAAATTGTTCTCTAGCATGGGCAAAAGGTCACTCAATTCCTTTCAGGACAAGGCAAGGTATAAAATGAAACAACTGGATGCAGATCTGTATTTAGAATCAACATATTAGAATTAACACACACAATAAAATTACCAGTTCACTGCACTGGTACACTTAATTTTTTTGTTTATTTGCTTTTCCTATGAAAACAGAAACATGTAATCATGGAGAAAATTTGGGAGATTTTGTCAGGCTTTTTTATTCTTATTTTTTTAATCAAAGAAACAATAAGCTATTTTAAAGAAATGTAAGAGAGACAGGCATTTAAAAGTCCCTTGTGATATTGTTTCTCAAAGATAACTATTATAAAAAGTATTATTGGAATAATATACATAATAAAACAAAATATTAATACTTTTTAAGTTGTTTTTAATTTTAATTCTAGTATAGTTAACACAGAGTGTCATATTAGTTTCCGGTGTACAATATAGTGATTCAATCCTTCTACACATCACCCGGTGCTCATCACAAATGCACTCCTTAATCCTCATCATCTACTTCCTCCCCTCTGGTAACCATCACAGTGTGTTCTCTATAGTTAAGAGTCTGTTTCTTGGTTTGTCTTTTTTTTATTCTTTGCTCGTTTGTTTTATTTCTTAAATTCCACATTATAAATAAGATCACACGGTATTTGTCTTTCTCTGACTTAAAATGTTAATACTTTCTAACAAGGCTTTTTTTCTGTTAACAAATCATGTATATCATTTCACATGAGTACATGTTTATCAACTTCATTCTTTTTGTGTGTGTGTGTTTTTTTAAATTTTTTTATTTTTTTATTATGTTATGTTAATCACCATACATTACATCATTAGTTTTTGATGTAGCGTTTCATGGTTCATTGTTTGCGTATAACACCCAGTGCTCCATGCAGAACGTGCCCTCTTTAATACCCATCACCAGACTAACCCATCCCCCCACCCTATCAAATTCATTCTTTTTAATGACCGCATAGAATGTGCAGTAATGGTCTTCTACCGATAAATGCTTACATTTCCAGTTTTCCATATTTAAAAATCCTACATTCAATATATTTTATCTTTTTACATCTCTAACAATATTTCAATGAAATAAAGTTCTAGAATTGTTGGATCAGAGGGATGACCATTTAAAATTTGACCATTAAAATTTGATAGATCCTTTCAGGGGCACCTGGGTGGCTCAGTCGTTAAGCGTCTGCCTTCGGCTCAGGTCATGATCCCAGGGTCCTGGGATCAAGTCCCACATCGGGCTCCCTGCTCCGCGGGAGGCCTGTTTCTCCCTCTCCCACTCCCCCTGCTTGTGTTCCCTCTCTTGCTGTGTTTCTGTCAAATAAATAAATAAAATCATTTAAAAAAATAAATAAAATAAAATTTGATAGATACTTTCAAATTGACTTTTTAAAAGATTTTTATCTATTAACATGCACAATATAATATGAAAGTATGGCTGTAGCCTGGAATATTTTGTTAGGTTTAACCAATCAAAGCTCAGTAGATTGAAGATGTACACATTAAACAGTTTTTTAATCCATCTTTCTATCATCCCTTCTTTACATTCAACTGTCCATATATCTATCATCCTAACTTTTTTTGAATACTTAATTTTTTAGAGCATTTTTAAATTCACAGCAAAATTGAGAGGAAGGCACAGAGATTCCTCACATACCCCCTGCTCCCCTCCAAACAGCCTCCCCCATTAAAATCTCTCACCAGAGTGGTACATTTATTACAACTGATGAACCTACACCCCTTCCAAAGTCCATAGTTTACCTTAGGGTTCATGCTTGGTATTGCAAATTCTGTGGTCTTTGATAAATGCATATTGACATGTATCCATATTATAGTGTCATGCCCTAAAAATCCTCTGTGCTCTGCCTATTCATCTTTCTCTTCCCACCTAATCCCTGGCATCACTGATCTTTTCACTGTCTCCAAAGATTTGCCCTTTCCAGACTGTCATATAGTTGGAATCATTGAGTTTGTAGCCATTTCAAATTGGTTTCTTTTACTTAGTACTATGCACTTAAGTTTCCTCCATGTCTTGTTATGGCTTGATAGCTCATTTCTTTCTAGCACTGAATACTATTCCACTGACTGGATGTACCACAGTTTATCCTTTCATGTATGGAAGGACATCTTGGTTGCCTCCAAATTTTTGTCAATTATCAATAAAGCTGCTATAAACATCCATGTGCAGGCTTTTGTGGAAACACAAGTTTTCAACTCCTCTGGATAAAAAAGCAAGGATTGCTGGGCTATATGGTAAAAGTATATTTAGTTTTAAAAGAATGACCAAAGTAGCTGTACCACTGTGCATTTCCACTAGCAATGTATGAGAGTTCCTGTTGCTCCACATCCTTGACAGCATTTGGTGGTGTCAGTGTTCTGGATTCTGGCCACTCTAATAAGTATGTGGTGGTATCTCATTTTAATTTGCATTTCTCTGATGACATAGGATGTGGAGTATCTTTTCATATGCTTACTTGCCATCTGTAGATCTTCTTTGGTGAGGTGTCTGTTAAGGTCTTTGGCTCACTTTTAATCTCTTATTGTTGAGATATAGGAGTTCTTCAAATATTCTGGATAACTCCTTTTATCAGATATATCTTCTGCAAATATTTTCTCCCATTCTGTGGCTTGTCTTTTTATTCCCTTTACAGTGTTTTGCAGAGAAGAAATGTTTCATTTTAACGAAGCACAGTTTACCAATTCTTGCTTTCATCACACCTATGCTACAGTATCTAAGATGTCATCAACAAACCCAAAGTCATCTAAATTTTCTCCTCTGTTATCTTCCAGGAGTTTTATAAGTTCTGCATTTTACATTTAGGGTCTGTGAGTTATTCCAAGTTAATTTTTGTGAAGGGTGTAAGGTATTGTCTAGATTTATTTTTTTTACATTGTAGATATCCAGTTGTTCCAGCACGATTTGTTGAGAAGACTATTTTTTTCTCCATTGTATTTCTTTTGCCCTTCTGTTGACTTTATTTATGAGGTTCTATTTCTGGGCTCTCTGTTCTGCTCCACTGATCTACCTGTCTATTTTTTCACCCATACCACACTATCTTGATTACTATAGCTTTACAGTAAGTCTTGAAATTGGACAGTGTCAATCCTTCAACTTTGTTCTCCAATATTGTGTTGGCTCTTCTGGGTCTTCTCTCTCTCCACATAAACTTTAGAATCAGTTTGTTGAGATCTATAAAATAACTTGTTGGGATT